TTTTTTTTTTTGTATGTTACCGCATAACTTTGGACCACGTCAACCGATTTCGATAATTTTTTGCATCGGAAAGGTAGTGTCTCAGAGGTGGTCCCATACTAATCTGGTTAAGATCCGATCAGCGGATCATGAGATATATATATATATGGTGGCGCACAGTGGAACATAACAATATAAGCTGCTTCCAAAAGAATTAACCGTACTACAAATTCGTTATATGCTCTATTCTGCACTTACGAATGTAGACATGTGTAAAAGTCGATCTACGGCCACGCCCACAGCTCTTCTAGGCTGAAATGGTAAATGTTATCAGATTTTGATGAAATTCAGATCATATGATGGTTTTAACCAGAAAGCATAAATCTTAAAGAGCGGGAAAATCGGTTAATATTACACCGTGCGACAAAAAAAAAATTAAAACACGAAACAATGGGCCAAATATAGTAAAGCTTCACTCTGAAGTCAGGATTTTTTTTAAAGGACTCTGAAATTTTAAAGACATGATTATGTCAAAAATAATTTAAAAAAAAGCGGTGGAATTTACAATAACAATTAAGTGTTTTTGGTTACAAGGACGAATTAGTACCGAAACTGCGTTTTTAGTTAAATTTATTTTTTTAAATAAATAAAGTTAGAAGGATGAAATTCGAGGATGTGGTCGTGTGTATATAATATTATTATTTTTTCAAAAATGAATTATGCAAATTTTCAAGGATATTCTACAGACAGACATTTTCCCTTTTATTTCATACCTACATTATTATTCTACATTGCACTGAAATTTTTTAATAATTTTTTGAATTAATCATATTTTTGAAATTTTAAAGTCCTTAACAAAAAATCCTGACGTCAGAGTGGAAAATTAAAAACGCAGTTTTACTATATTTTGCCCATCTTTTTTTTGTGTGTGTAAAATTTACTGCCGCCTGGTGTTATCGTCCATCAACTCTAAAAAAATTTATTTTGAAGAGTTCCCAATATGCCACTCCTGCAATCAATATTTGTCTCTAAGTACTAAATTTTAGCAATTCTGGGGAAAATGAACAAACACATTTCCTATTTCTTCCTTTTAAAAATAACAAAACGAAAACAATTACAATACCTGTATACTAAATTATGTGCATGGTATGTATTTGCACTGAAATCTTTAATTCCGCCTATATTTTACACAACAAAAGCTGCGCTAAGGCAAACAGGACTTTTATCCAAAGAAGCGTCCACTTTTAGATCCATGGTGAACTGAATAATGGATTAGCGAGTTATAAATATCTACACCTTCTTCCATTTACATTTTATATCGCATCTTACTTATTTACCTTATATACATATTAGTGTGCTTTCCTTCAGCTATACAATAAAAATGCAATATATGTGACCTGGTCTACGGAAAGGGGGCTTAGGTGTCAAAAACTCAATTTTCACTTTTTGGTTGATTCGGATGGAAGATGAGATGCTTTTTCACGTGGTGAAAAGCAGAAAATCCTAACTTGCTTAGAAGTGTACTAAAAATGTAGAGAAAGAAGAGTAAAAATACGACAAAATATAATTTATTTACACGATGAACTATAATAATATTCCGACCACAACAACACTTACTGGACCAACAACAACACTTACTGGACCAACAACAACACTTACTGGACGTCCGGCGCGGAGAACAATTAACGAGATAATGAGAAACTGACGAAACGAGTTGCTTACTTTTAACAGCTTTTTCACAGAAAACTAGTTTTCGCACGTAAGCTCCCTTTTCGTAGACCAGGTCACATATATTATCGGAGGTGTGTCTATAAAAAGACCAATATTGAGCTTCCAAAAATACTAAAAAATGTATATAAATAAAAAAAAAATAAATTAATTAAAGAAATGTATTTACTTATGCCCTAAATGGTATAGGAATCATTCAAAATGTTTACCTTAATTGGTTTAAGTTCTAGTCTTAAGAGGTTGAGTGCGAGAAGTTTGAATAATATAGCAAAGGGATAGCTGCTGTGTAGAAGTTTTCGTGTATATAAAGGATTTTTTTATTCTTTGCGGTAAGGAAAAATGCATTGTTAAGTGAAGATTGTATTGGAAGATCTTGAAAGATATGTATGTGAATAACTCGCTCGGAATTTCACTGCAATGGAGTCACATAAAGATTTAGTATTCCAATGTTCCATTTTGTTACTTTTTATCTATCATTCCACGCTGTAATATTATTTTAATAAAAAAATACGCTTGCTGAAAAGCTATGTAAAAAGTATCAACCTCCTATCTGACTACCAATTAGGCTGTGTTCAGGGTGCGAATTAGAAATTTTGTAATAATGCTTAAGTACTTAAAAAAAAATTACTTTTCGAAAACGATTTGTTCAAAAAAGACCGCTGAATGGGAGCATTAAAATATTTTTTCGAAATAACACGTTTTTCATATCTTTTTGCTGCAAATTTTATCGCAAATCTCTACTAAGCGCTATGTCGCCACCCTTTTCATGTCCATAGGTCGATTTTGCCGCAGAGCGTTTAAAAATGTATGATAAATAATAAATTTCTATGTACCTTTCGATTATTTCCGTGAGCTAAGCAAATTCAAAATAATCTTTAGCGGTTAGCTTATCGCTAACTGGATTTCCTACTAAATCAGCTCATGAACAATAAATTGATTTAAGGAAAATATGTATGTATGCACATTAGACTGCATCACTCCCTATACAAAAAAGAAATCGGGACTGTGTTTCCATTGGATTTATAAATTCTATTATATTTTAAGACGTCCACGATTTGAAAGTACCTCAAAAATATTTTTTTTTGAATAAAAGTAGTTTCTTAAGAATGTTTTTTGAAAAAATCCCCTCAAATGAAAAACGGTTTAAGCTTAAAAAATTTGCATAAAAATATTTTTCAAAAATTAAAAAAAATAAATGGAACGGAATCGTAATAATGAGATTTTTGATGGTGTTTTTTAACTTTTTTCAAAGATTGGTATAAGAAAAACTTCAATAACTGAACCTAAACTCTTCCGACGTAGACTTGTGAGGTATCATTGGAAAGGTATTTTCTTTGCTAATAAACTCATTCCAGGTATGAAAGAGAAAGGTAGGAGGAACGAACGTCATTCTAAGTTGAATTAAGATGTGCTGGTATTTGAAAAAAAAAATAATAATGGGACACGAATGACTTTTTTTGCACAGAAATAAAAATAGTGGGAAAATACCTTTCTCCTGAGATTAGAATAGCTTTGGCCCAGCAATTCAAGTTTTGCGTAAATCAATCTTTGAAAAAAGTAAAAAACAGCATCAAAAATCGTATTCCGTTGAAAAGATTTTTAAATATTTTTATGCAAATTTTTTAAGCTTAATCTGTTTTGTCATCTGAGGGGACTTTTTTCAAAAAGTTCTTTAAGAAATAATTTTTCTTCATAATAAACTTAATTTTTGGAGGTATTTTCAAATCGATCCAGCTCACGTAAATATTAATATTTTCCGAAATATTTTGGTGGACTTCTTAAAATATAATAAATTTACAATCCCGGCGGAAAAACCGCAACTTTTTTTGGTGATGCAGTTGTTCACATAATAATAGGATTGCGATATTTTGACCAGTTTTAGCTACTTGTTTTTTGTTTATTTAATGCTTATATTTTTTTGTTTTTATAAAAGTCTAGCTGGTTATAAAACAAACACCATATAAATTTACATTTCAAACTTTGTACAAAAATTATAAAAATATAGCATGAGAAATTTTTGCCTAAAAGCAGAGGATTAATGTACATAACATGAAAAAAATTATAAGTGAGAAAAACTAAGTAATTTTGTTGAGCTTGGAAAAACAACGGAAGCAACGGAATAGCTGCGCTTGATTTAAGTTGGCTCACATGAAAATAGTGGAAAAAGCAACCACAGTTTATAAGGCGAACTTAGTACAGTGCGTAGGCAACTGGGTCGTTGGATCGATTCCCACTAGCGAAGTCTGATGAGGAGATGTGGTGATCTCCGAAATAGCTATCACTTCTACCATTTTTATAAATTATTGTTGTTTTTGCACAATAGTTTTTCATTAAAAATGGCCTTAAGCTCAATAAAATTGTTGAATATAATTGTTATAAGGCCATAAATAACAAAAACAAATAAAAACTTAGTAAAATAAATTTAACAGGATTTGAAAGAATTTCTCGTGCGATAAAAAGCCGCTGTCTATTAACTAAACTACTTTTATTACCCCATCTGTACATATGTACAAACATTTGTAAATACTTGTACTTGCAAAATATTTACATGGGAATATATGTACATATGTATGCGTTCACATATCTTATCAATAAAAAATTTTACATACATACATATATTAATATGTATTAATATATCGGCGGAGACCCATTAATCAGCAATAACTGAAACCAACAACAAATTCGATAGAAAATTCCATATTTCGCTTTATCGGGGCGATCGGGTGAAAGTTATTAGCGTTTGGCCAGGAAACGGGTTGTAGAGAGGAGTATTTTCAGTAAATTCGTTGGTGCGTTTTGCGACCATAGTTCACAATCAGTATAGTTTTGCGTTTAGGTGAATAATGTTGGTATTGTTAGTATATAAGTAAACAAAGGGCAGGAAAAACGTTTGCTAAAAAGCTTAAGGAAATCGATCATGTAACAAGATATTGAAAGCAAAAATATTTTAAAAGTAGTGCGCAAAAAAGTGTGTACACAAGAAGATAGTGAATATGGACAGCAGATTGTTTGAATGAAAATAATATAAAATAAAAGTTTGCAAAAAGAAATATGTACTTTTTATTAAGCGTTTATTTTGCAAACATATTTGTATACATACATTTATATCGTTGAAGATGCCATTTGTTTCGAAAATGCATTCTACTCCTATTTTTCGTACGCTACGCCAGCTAATAATAGATTAATTGAAATATTTTCACATCTTTGTTTCTTATTTTCGAAATTTTTAAATGAAAATTAAAAACAAAAAATCAAAAATCTAATCTTTGATATTTTTCAAAATGTCTCTCCATAGTTAAATTCTTTTTTAAGGCATCTTTAAAGAAAAAATCCAAACTAAAATATTTGTAAAATTGTTTTGGTATAAAATCATAACATAATACCACATTCGGCACGCGTAGTACATAAATTACCACAGCATGGCACAAATTCGACCATTGGCACCCGAATTGGCTGCGGTGGCCGCTGCCGAACTCAACGAAGTGGAATCACGTATTGCCGGTGATATTGTCGAACTACGTCAGTGGATCGAAGAACAACCGTACTTAACAACGCGCACTGATGACCAATTCCTTGTGGGCTTCCTGCGTTTCTGCAAATACAATATGGATGACACAAAGAAACGTATCGAGTACTATTACACATATAAATCAACAGCCGGTGATTTTCTGAAGAGCCGACGCATTGACGATAAAGTTTATGGCATCTGCCGTGCGGGGTGAGCTCATGTGATTTTGATTTTGTAATAAAAGAAAAACTCCATTTATTGCTTATCTCCCACAGCATATTCGCAACACTTCCGAAGCCGGTGGGTCCGGGCGGTCCACGCATACACTTCACACGCATGGGCCAAATTGATACTTCACTCTATACGGCCAAAGATATCTTCCGTTTCATAATGTTCCGCTCCGAAATTGAGGCTAACACCGATGATAATTGGATTATTAGTGGTGTATTGGAGATAATTGATTTCTCTAAAATTCCATATGCGTTATTGCGTCAATTCGAACCGAATTTATTTAAAAAAATGGCCGCATTCTTAGAATACGGCGTGCCAACCAATCTAGTAGGAACACACATCGTAAATGCTTCCATGGATGCGCAAATTATATTGAATTTAGTGCGTCTCGTTATGAAACAAAAAGAATTGGTGAGTTCGAGTTGAAAGTGAGCGTGAAATAGGCTGTAACTAATGGTGGTATGGAGCGAGGTAGGATAGTGTGATAAGCTTTCAAGCTTGGTGATAGACATACCAATTGGATGGGGTAAAAGTTGTGGTTGAAGAGATTTCACAACGCAAAGAGGAGAAATCTGGCAAGAGGTTTTGATGCATTCGATAATTTTTCCAATAGTTTTTCATGTTATTGTAATGAACAAAAATACTCGGCTTACCGCTTTGTCATTAGTAGGGTTCGGAATCTCATGCACTAAAAAATCGGAAAATATGCGCATATAATATGCATTCAAAAATAAAAAACATTCGCTATAAACAATTCGAAATGCAATTAAAAATGTTTTGCTAATATTTTATTGCCGGTACAAAAATAAATAATACATGCATTTTAACAAGAAAATAACGAAAACAATTCATTTCAAACTACAATAAATATTCTTGTATGAAATAATAATCAAGGAGACAGTTACAATCTTGTGTTAAGCTTAGTATCCAGCTCTCAACAAAAGCCAAAACTTCGTTTAAAAAACGGTAAGAAATGGCGAACAATTTTCTCGTGGCAAATTTCCTTAAGACAGGAGGAGTTCCTAAGATATTTGCTACGCCTTCTACGACGGTTTTCTAAAGTTTTCAAAATTTGTTTGTAAACAAGGAACACAAGGCAACCATTTTTTCAACAGAAATATATGCCCGTTCCATTCTTTCCTGAAGAAAGAGTGAGACAGCAGGCTGTGAAATATCAGATGTCAAAATTCCTAGGACACAAACGAAATAATGGCAATTTTTCTTGACAGTTTTCTAAGGAGCTGGATTCCTAGCTTAAATAGGAACATTGACAGTGGTTTAGATAAATATTTGGAAAAAATTATAGGTATTTTTTTTTTGTCAAGAGAGGTCGCACTAAATTTAAGTGGTTGTAAATCAAACAAAGCAAAAATACGCAAACTCCACATGCATTTATTGTAAAATATACTAAAATATGCGCAAAAAATATACAAAAACAGAGATTTTTTTGCAAAATATGCAAAACCATGCATTTACTGCAAAATATGCA